AATTATTTGTTTATTAACAAAGAGTCATGATTATCTCTGTTAATTCGATAAGATTCTAACAGATGGCTGTATAAGATAATTCGTTGACTTAAAGACGTGTATATTGGACTGTATTTTAACATTAATTATACGTTTTGTATAATATTGTTCAATTTTATTTTATATAAATACATTTTTGTATAATATTATACGCATCTGTTTGGCTTTTTATTTTTGTTTTGTTTTGTTTTCTTTTTTTTTTTTTTTGTTCAGATAATTCATTCGAATTCTTTGATAGGAAATTACCGTTAGAAAGTAGGCGTTGACAAAAAAAAACGAACGAAGAAAATGTAAATGTTAGATAGGTATGCATGTTGGAATGTGCCAAGCATTTGTGTATGTGTGTGTGTGTGTGTGTGTGTTCTAATCTTTTTTCTATATTTATTTATTATGTAATATAATATTTTATAATATAAAATAATTGTATATCCATTTCTTTTGTATTTGTGGTTACAAAAAAAAAAAAATGATTATATCATCAATTCCCCTAACAATTTTCAACGCCCATCGTTCGGTTTTCTGCGGCTACTGACATTAACAATAATAAAAATAAAATTANAAAAAAAAAAAAAAACTAAAAGAAGATTTGACCACCATCTAACCGTAGCTTATGGCAACCATGAAACCACTACTACTACTACAACTACTACTACTACTATTTCTTCTTCTTCTTCTTCTTCTTCTTCTTCTTCTTCTTCCGCATTTTAAGTAATATCGTTTTCAAATTGAATCGTAATTGATAACGGTCTTGTAAATTAAAAAGAAAAAAACAAAACAAAAAAAGATTTCAATTCTTTGTTCTTTCCTTTTTTCTTTTTTTTTTTTCTTTTAACTACAAACTACAAACTACAAACTGCAAATAAATAGAATTTCAAACAACGAGACATTCAATAATAAAAAAAAAATAATTAAAATTAAAATTAAATTAAATCAAAAAGAATTAAAAATAAAAAAATTATAAACTCATTTCTTTAATCCGATGAATTAAATATAATTATTTTTAATATAACAAAATAATAATAAAAAAAAAAAAAAAATACAAAAATATAAAATAATAAAATAATAAAATAATGAATCAGATACATCAGATACATCAGATACATCATCAAATACATCATCAAATACAATGAACAATCATCATCGGTCAATCAACAACGACAGCTTATCATTAGTCCTCCTCTCTCCAAGACGTAAAATAAAATAAAATTAAAAAAAAAAATAAAAACAACAACAAAAAGAATTGAAAAGATCACGAAACGAGCGCCTGGAGATTGATTAACGGCTATGCAGGCGTGCAGGCGTGCAAACGTGCAAACGTGCAAGCGTGCCTGTGCACAACCAGGTACAACCAACCACCACACCCTTTTCTACGATCCTTCGAAAGAAAATAAATGAGAAGACAAGTTTGCAAAGAAGAAGACTAAGTATAAAGAGAAGAAATCCCCTTCCCCATCCACCCTCCCCTCTTCCCCACCCTCACCCCCTATTGCTATTGCTCACCATCAGTGTAATGGAATGTTTATTTAAAATTTATTTTTTATTTTTTTAATCTCTTCTTCTCCTCCTCCTCCTCCTCTCCTCCTTTCCTCCTCCCTTCTCACCACCCCCTCATTGGTTTAAATCCGGTCCTGCGGGTTGCATCTCTGATACTACTGCAATATCTTACAATATTTTTCTCTTTCATTTTTATATTCTTCTTCTTCTTCTTCTCTCTCTCTCTCTCTCTCCTTCTCTTTCTCTCTCTCTCTCTCTCTCTCTCTCTCTAAATACATTTCTCAATCTCTTTTACGGTGTGTAATTCCGCGGCTCGATATCAAAAGATCACCAACCATTAGTCCCTTTCAATTTCTTCCCCCCCCCACTCCCCCAATCCCCCCCCACTCCACAGATTCCCTCTCCACCCTCTCCCCTTTATTCAAGTTCATTTTAAGAAGAAACTTCTATAAGTGTTACTTTAAAATTAAGGATCGTGTCGAAGGACAAATATTATAATCACGAAACTTATTATAGGACAGGGGGGCGGGTGGGGGGATCGGCAACCCTTTTTTTAGTCGGAAGAGTCAAAAATTACAATTTACAAAATTTTCCAAATTTTTTAAAAGCTATGGTTTTCCTTAACTTCCCCCTCATCCTCCTCCTCCTCCTCCTCCTCCACCTCCTTTTCTCTTTCCTCTCATCATTTTTATCTTAGTCGCAGGTAATAACAACTTTTACAATCTTATGTTTGTGGTCACCGTGTATAACGGAGTATCATAAACTTAACTCGACCACACGGCTAATTTCTTTAGTACCACCGTATATATATATATATGTGTAATACATGTATGAAAGTGTATATGTATATTATTTACAAGTATTATATTTGTATTAATAAAAATAATAATTAATTAATTAACTAATACGAAATATCAATGGAATTGTTTTCGTTGGTATCTCAAAAATGGATGAATTGTGGTTTACTAAATATAATAAAATTACAATTATCATTGATGTATAATATATATATATATGTGTGTGTGTGTATGTATGTATTATTATTTAGAAGTATTATGCAAGTATTATATTTGTAATTAATAAAAATAATTAATTAATTAATTAATTACTACTATGAAATGAATCAAATTGTTTTCATTGGTATCTCAAAAATGGATGACTTTTGGTTTACTAAATATAATAAAATTACAACTATCATTGATGTATAATATATATGTGTGTGTGTGTGTGTATGTATGTATTATTATTTAGAAGTATTATATTTGTATATTAGTAAAAATAATAATTAATTAACTAATTAATTACTACTATGAAATGAATCAAATTGTTTTCATTGGTATCTCAAAAATGGATGACTTTTGATTTACTAAATAATAAAATTACAACTATCATCTATATATATATATTGTGTGTCTATGTGTATGTATATATTATTTACAAGTATTATACAAGTATTATATTTGTAATTAGTAAAATTAATTAATTAATTAATTAATTAATTAACTAATCACAATGAAATTGATCGTATTATTTTCAATGTTATCTCCAAAATGATTTAATTTTGTTTCATTATTTTTATACAATAATACGAATATAATACTTGTAAATAATACACACACAGATAGACAGACACACACACACACATATATTATACATCAATGATAATTACAAAATAATAAAATAATTAATTAACTACAATGAAATGAATCAAATCATTATCATTGGTATCTCAAAAATGATTGTCAACATTTTGTTTTATTATTTTACAAAATTGATCATTGAATGAGATCTGTGATTTTTAATATTACATAAATTCTACTATTGTTTATTATGATTATTATTATTATTATTATTATTAGTAGTAGTAGTAGTAGTAGTAGTAGTAGTAAATAATATTATGTTGAATGAAAGAAAGTTGGTGAAAGTTTTCATTAAGAATTCACGACATTGACCCTCTTTTTTATACAACCGTGAAAATAAAACACCGAAAGTTTTACGAGAATAGAAATAACTAACATAATTATAAATAAATACCTTATCATCAAGAAATTACATGTTACTTCGTTTATTCATTCAATTATGCAATCGTTCCCTATAATAATCTTGAAAGTGATCATCGTACTATTATTCTTTACCATTTAATAAATTATTAAACACGTTATATATATATATATATATAATATTAATAATACTTTCAAACGATTTCTAAATTATTCCTTTCAATTATTTACATCTCATTTCATCAAAATTTATACATTTTTATACAGTATATATATTTCTGTTTGTTAAATAATTCATTTCTTCTTCTTCTTCCTCTTCTTCTGCTTCTTCTTCTTATTATTATTATTAGATAATATTAGAATTTAGAAAGAAAAAAAATAAATAATAAAAAATACAATTCTAATTTGTTAAATGTATTTTTTCAAATGCATGCATATGTTAATGCAAAATTAATTGACATTAGTAAAATATTGAAATTAATTTAAATAATAATTACTTTAATATATATATATATATATATATATATATATATATATATATAAATAAAATAT